TGCTCACTTTAATTGCATATACCTGCTTCATTCTAACTGATGTTTAACTCTGAAACAGACATTTGAAAGTGAAAGTGACTCTACACATGTGAGGAAGAATTCTGTTGAATCTTACCTCAAGCACATACAACACATAGGGTTCTTCTTTAAAACAGTCAATTCTAGCAAGTTGAATCTGCTATTACAAACTGCTTCTGCCCTGTTCTATTCTGGCAAGCTGTTCTCAACCAGTATGTTCAATATATAGTCTTCAGCCATTTCACTTCAGGCCAATGGCCAAATATTCAAATTGGTCTAGGAAGAAAAAGTTGCATGTAGGGTCATAGAACATTGAGGGGAAAGAAGTAACTATCTAAAAGGATGCATTCAGTAAAGTATATTGAAATTCTTCCCTACAACTTCCTCACAATGTTTCTTTCCAATACATTGGCCCACTTTTTGCGAACTGATATTGATCAATACCACAGAAGCTGAAAAATGTGACTGAATCTACCTGTTCTGGGAAGAGTTCTCTTGAATACTAGTTCAACCACAAACAAAGCAGAGGGTTCTCCTTTAAAACAGAGTGAATTAATGCAAGTGGAAGCTATTGAAACATGCAGATTCTGTTATGCACTGAGAAGCTCTTCTAAGCCAGCATATCTAAAGCACAGTTCAGCCCTTCAACAACCCATTGCAGGCACATAACTTAAATGTTGGTAGCAAGAAATACCTTGGGGTAAGCTCACCAAAACTTGAGGAAAAAGAGAAACTTTAATGTGGCTTCATTCACCAAAGTGTCGTAGAAATTTCTTGTTCCATTGTTTTTACAATACTTATTTCAATTGCATTTTCCTGTTTCCTACATACTGATGTTCAACAATTGCCCAGTCACTTGAAACTGAAACTCTATCTGCTGCTGATGGGAAGAGTTCTGTTGAATGCTACTTCAAGAACAAACAGTCCAGAGGGTTCTCCTTTAGAACAGATGAATAACTGCAAATATGAGCTGTTAAAACTCACAACTTATCTTCTACATTGGAATAGTCTTCTAACCCAGCATATACAGAGCAGAGTTCAGCCAGTTAACTTCATACTACAAGCACATAATTTAAAAGGTGGTAGCAAGAACAACCTTGGGACTAGGTTTACAAGTACTTGTGGGGAAAGAGGGAATGTTATAGGCATTCCTTCACCAAAATTCCTTGTAATTCATTTCCCCAACTTTTTCACAATGCTCACTTCAAAAGCAATTTTCTGCTTTCTGCAAACTGATGTTCCACAGTGACACAGTTGCTTCAAACTGAAACTGAATCTGCTGATGCTGGGAAGGAAGTCTGTTATTTAATGCTACTTCAACCACAAACAAAGAAGAGGGTTCTCCTTTAGAACAGATGCACTCAGGCAAGTACAAGCTTTTAATATACACAAATTATCTTCTGCACTAGGAAGCACAATAAGTCAGCATATTCAAAGAAGGGTTCAACCATTCAACATCTCATTGCAAGTGCATTATTTAAATGGTGGTGACAAGAAAAGCCTTGGGACTAGGCTCCTCAATTCTTGTGGGAAAAAGGGAATATTATGGGGATTCCTTCACTAAATTGTTTTGTCATTTACTGGCTCACCTTATTCACTATACTCACTTTAATTGTACTACCCTGCTTCCTATGAAATTATGTTTAACAATGGCACAGATGCTTGAAAATGAAAGTGAAACTGTACATGCAATGAAGAATTCTGTTGGATGCTAGTTCAAGCACAAACCCAGCAGAGGTTCTCCTT